TCGGCTGCAAGGAGCTTCCCGACCTCCTCGTCAACTGCCCTCCATCGCTCTGGGGCTAGGTTGCGTTTCTTCTGTCTAACGGGCCTAACTACAGAACTACTGATGAGCCTATGAGTATTAATGTTGGGGTCTATGCCGGGCATTTTTGCCGCTGACCATGCAAAAACATCTAAATTTTCTAGTAAGAAACTTACCAGTTGAGACCGTAGGGGTTCCTCCACAGAAGCACCAATATGAAGTACCCGAGCTGGGTTCTCTGCCGAGGCCGGGATGGGGATGGTCTCTTCGGTAGGCGCGGCTCACTCCGCGAACTGCTCCGCAGGTCGTTCTAGCTCGAGGTCGTCTACTACCTTGGCCTTTCCTTTAAGGGCGGCTACGTAGCACTTGCAGGACTCGAGTTGGTCACCTCGCGTCACTCCGACTTTGAAGTCTGTAGGGAACTTCATCACCAGATGGTAGGTGGAGACTATTGCTCGTAAGGCGTGGATGATGGGCTGACCTACTATTGCGTTGTACGGGGAGGGGATCGCGACCACCAGGAACTCGTGGCTGAGCCTTACCACACTCGGCCAAGTGCCGACCTCCACGGGTACAGTGTTTCTCCCTAAAGGTCTGACCTCCTCACCACTGAATCCCACGAGTGGAGTGTTTGCGGGCTTTAGGTCGCTTTCCTAGAGCTGAATCTGACCGAAGGCTGCCTTGAAGAGAATATCTGACGAGCTGCCTGAGTAGACTAGGACGAGCCTGACCTCGAAGTCGTTGATCTTAATCTTTATGACGAGCGTGTCATCATGGGGGTAATGGACTCCTCGTGCATCGTCTTCAGTGAAGAAGATCGGTTCCTCCATCCTTGGCTGCTTTGGGGGGTTAAGCTCTTCTCTGGTGGCCTCGTGGACTGATGACCGAGCTGCTGCCAAAGTGCAGCCCGCGACAACTGATCCTCCGACAATTACATGGATGGTCCCCTAGACTGGTCTCTCGTTGGGAGGCTGCCTCTGCGGTTGTTCTGCTTGTCTGCTGGACTCGGGAGTTTCCTTACTTTGCTCCCCGTGCCAACCTGCTTTATTATTATTATTATGCTATACAAAATTTCTTAGATATCTGCAACGGATAAGTTCTTCTATCTCGTCGCGGAGGTTCTTACAATTTTCGGTACTATGACCGTGATCTCTATGAAAACTACAATACAAGTTTTTATTCCTAACATTGGGATCGACCTTAAGCCGAGGTAGCCACTTCACATATGGGGCGTCCTAGATCGCCATGAGGATCTCGGCCCGCTTTATGTTGAGGGGCGTATAATCCCTTTCTGTTGCCGGAGCTCGGAAAGGTTGAATTGGCTTTGCCCCCCGAGCTTGGTCCTTCTTCTTCTTGCTGTCACTTGGAGCCGGGGGCTCCGGTTCCCTTTCTTTTTTCAAGGGCCTGCTCGCCCTTCTAGTTGATCTCCTCCTCTATCCCTATGAACCGATCTGCCAGTTCGAGGAACTCGGTCATGGTCTTGGGTTGGTTGACAACCACGTGCCATCTAAACTCCTTGTGGGTAATGCCTCGCTTGGCCACAGTGAGCCGAACTGCAGAGTCTAGGTCGGGTATCTACAGACAAGCGTCATTAAACCGCTTGATGTAGTTCTGGATGGACTCTCCTTCCCTCTGGACTATGCTGAGGAGGCTTTCTTGGGTCCTTGGGTACCTTTTACTAGTGACGAAGTGGAAGGTGAAGACCTGCACGAACTGTGTTCAACTCCTTATTGAACCTGGCATGAGGTTTCGGTACCAAGTGCGGGCTACTCCTTTGAAAGTGGTGGAGAAGGTCACGCACATGCAAGACTCGCTCGCTCTGGCCAGATGCATCTGGAACTGAAAGGCGTCCACCTGGTCATTGGGATCGAAGAACCCATCGTACTAGTCCAGCGGGGGGAGCTTGAACTCCCTTGGCATGGGGACAACAAGGAGCTCTGGTGACAGGGGGAGGGAATTGAAAGAAGTGGTGTAGCTTTTACCTCACCCGAACTTACCTCTACCTTGCCTCTGAGCTCGGGCAGGTCGTGGGTGGCAGTTCGGCGAGCTCGGCGACACCTTCGCTACTTCTTAGCCAGCTCCGCATTGGTGTTGCTGGCCTCGGTATTACTGAGCTCGATGGGCCCTGGGAAAAGCTCGGACGGCTGTCGGTAGCTGTGAATAGAGGGACCTTGTTCCAGATCGTCGGCCAGCACTTCAAACCGGTTTTTGGCAAGCGGAGGTTCGAACTGCGAGCGCTGAGGAGATACCGGCCTAACCGGCTGGGAGGCCCCCGACCTAACTACAGGCCACGAGGCGGGGGTAGGGGTCTTTCCTTCCTTCCATGGGATGATACCGAAGTCTCTCCTCGGCGGGAAGGAAGTTCACTTCAGTGGTGAGGCTTGGTTGGCTGCGAAGCTGGATGCCGAGGAGGGAGTGAAGGAAACTGTTGCTGATACTGGTATTGGGAAACTTGGTGCAGCACTTGCTGCTGGTGGAACTGGAGTTGCTGGATCTGTTGCATCTGAGCTGCATGGCTCGCATGCACTGCATCAGATCCTCAAGCTGACCTTGGCTGGCCACCGGAGGGAGGATGGTGGGTTCAGTGAAAGTTGTTCCGACTGCAGAAGTTAGTGGAACAGTGACGGGTGCTACCGTCTGAGGCACTTCAGACTTGGAACCCCGTCCACAGAGAGGGGGACGATGAACTGCCCGATGCAGATGGTGGATAACTGGGGTTGTTCCTTAGGGGTGTTCCGGTGTCCGGTGTTGCTGGAGGAAGCCATAGGTGTTGCAGATGAGTTCTTGGGAGAAGGTTTCACAGAAGTTAAAGGAAGGCCTTTTGAAGCGTTTCCCACAGACGGTGCCAAATAATGCAGCACAATTTGGGCGCTCCTAGCTGGTTGAGACTTGGCTCCTAGCTATGACGATGGCACCTGAGAGGAAGAGGAAGGTGAAGGGTTCTCGGGGAGCTCTCCCGGCGGGAACACTCCGATGGCTAAGTTAGAACTCTGAGGAAACTCAAATATGACATAGAGAGTTAAGAGTGCTGAAAGTGCTAGCTTCAATACCTTTGCTTCGTGAGGGTCGGGGTCCTTTTATACCGGAGCTTGGTCACATCAAGCGTAACTGCCACTGCCCTAGTCGTTATTGTCGGGGCTGGGGTGGCAGGTGCAGGCTGCTGCTACAGGCTGCTACTGCAGGGTACGAACTCGTCAGGCGTGCCATGCTTCTCAAAGACGGCAGGTAGAATGCCGCCTGGCAAGGGATGCGAGCACTACCACCGGATCCGGCAGGTATGGATGTCAGGCAGATCTCCATGCAGTCTGCCAAGCTACTGTACACCGAACCACCTGGGGCAGGTTTGCCTTGCACCGTGGTGCCGAGGTACGCCGAGGTGCCCGTACTGGAGGTGAGCCTTAAGCAAGTACGAACAGGAGTCTCGACGGTGCTGTCCCGAGGTGTTTCTCCCTCGGGGCACTTAGCCAAAAGCTGGGGTGCTCCCTTCTTAGGAAGGGAGAACTCGGAGTCCCTTAGGAGGAGGTCGGGTCTCAAGGGGGACTCGGGTCCCTTTGCACGGGGGAGCTCGGGGTGCACCCTCAGGTTCGGGATGAGATGGGCCTTGCTTCTCGGCGAGCTGTCACACCCGCCGAGTCGTTTGGCCGGGCCTCGGCGAGCTCGCTATGCCGAGTTGTGGCCAGGCTGTCACGCTGAGTTGTAACATATGCCAGGTCATATACACGTGTTCCCGTAATACGAGGTCGGGCCAAATCACCCTACATTAGCATTAATTATTGATTTTATAGAAATTAGTAAACTAAGCTGATTAGTAATATCTTTTATCAATAAATTATTGTTGTAAAAATTTAACGAAATTTTATTAAATTACAATGATTAATGTAAATTATGTTAAACGTTGAAATTTTGAACATTTATTAATAACCAAAAATATTAAATAATGGATTTTTTATTTGTTTATTAATTTTGGGTATTATTAAATTATTTAATATTTGTTAAATAATGGATTATTTCCGAAATAATTATTTCATAATTTTTGGTAGAATATTTTCCAGAATTTTTTAATAATTTTCATAACTAATGAATTATTTAACAATAATGGAAGATGCCATGAATATATAGGAAACATCAAATTCCCCTTATTCCTCTCTCTTTGCTTGAAATCACATCTATAGATATAAATATTGTTTGATTTGAAAAGCCAAATCTTAATAAACCATGGCCCTATTTTTGTGAGAAAATGGAGAGAATAGAGAGGAATAAGAGATAGAAGTGAGGGAGAGGATAAAATATATATTGAGCTAATTAAAGAGAGAAGTTAGATTGTTATAGAAAGTGAGAGACATGAGTTGTAGGAGGGAGAGAGAACCCAATGGGAAGGGAGAGGAATGAAGAGAGAGGGTGCTGAGATGGTAAACTAGGAGTGGTGGAAAGGGGGAGATGATTCAAGGACTATATATATACTACTAATAATAATAGTAATAATAATAAAAGAGCGAATAACTCTCCATTCTCGACATTTCGGTGGACCTTTACTACCCTTCTTTGTCTAACCACTTGGTTAGATATTGAAGGGAAAATAGGTAATTTTCCATTATGGACATTTCACTCAGGCTGTGACACGCTCTCCCACTACGTTCTCCCTCTTCGGTTTCTCTCTCGGAACCGAGAAACACAACTGTAAATTCCACTTATTCCGATTATTTTGGTAGCAAATTGGTAACTTTTAACCACAAACTCTTCTTTCTCTAACCACATCCCATTCTCATTGCTCAGCTTGTTTCACTGAGACACTCTTCCACTACGTGTCTCCCTGTTCGGTTTCTCTCTCGGAACCAAGAAAGAAGACTATAACTTCCACTTATTCCAATTGTTTTGGTAAGTTTATCACCCTCAAACCCTTAGTCTTTCGTACCCTATCTTCCACGAAGACCATATCTCCCCCGCATACCCTATCTCGTTTCTTTCTCAGAAACAAGAAAGAACGCCATCTTTCCCACGTCCTCATATTCTAGACATTTTAAGGATGAATTCTCCCACCATTTCTCTCCCAAAATTGGTGATGGAGCCCTGAAGAACCAAAATGCAGTAATCTAGCCAATCACTTTACACCCTGAGCCCTAACCTTCGAAGGAAGTAATTTATTGGATGGTTAGATATTGTGCTGGTTTTTTAACATCTCTCATTGTTTGCTTGTGAAGAATTTTTGAAATCCGGCGGTAGAATAGGAGACAGATTCTCATGAACCACAATGAAGTCATCATCAGAAATTTCAAGGGGAAAGTTTTCACAAGAAACATTAGGGTGAAGGTGAGGTGGGGGTGTTGAGTGAAATTTGCGATCTCAGACCTCTTCAAGTTGCCTCCTAGGCCCTCTCTGCAGGCAGATTCCATGTGAAATGTGAGCTTCGATGATGATGATGATGATGAGGTTCGCTCGAGAATGGAGAGAAGGTACCTATGCATTCGGTAATTATTTCAACTAGGTTCACTATTTCTCATATCCATCACATAAGGTATAGTGAGCAAAAGAAATTTACCATAGGATTTATGGTTATTTTCAAAAAATACCTTTAAGTACATGGTTCTAGATGGTTGGTTGTTGGATCCCAAATGGGTTCTTTGCTTATAACCTGTCGGTGTGACTACTAAGAAATTATATTTTCTGTTTTCTTCAGGATTTGTTTTTTTCAATCACATGTAGTAAAACTTCTCAGTGTGTTGAGTTGTTCCAGCTTGAAAACACATTAGTGAGCTGGATTTAGTTCCAGATTCAAACCAGTGAAACTGCTCTGCATACTCCCTCCTTGCAGGGTCTCTCTTTGCTTTCAGGTACAACTTAGTTTTTTTTCAATGTTTTTTGTTGTTGTTTATTGGTATAGGTTCAAGAAGCTTGTTTGGCATTTCAGTTGAGTAGTTCTTAAAGGAGGAAATAATGGGTTTGAAAAATTAGTTATTATGGTTTAATTTAATGGGTTCAGTTAAAGGATATGCAGTTGTTGGTTATTGGTATTGTGTGCATTTTAATTTGTTGAAGTGAGGGGTTTTATGTACAATGCAACAAATTGTACAACTTCATTATATTGAAAATTTCGCTGTCTGTATATTTTATTGCCAACTTAGAGAAAATGCATTATGGAAAGAAAGGTTCCCTGCTTCTTTGTGATGGAAAGAAAATTTGTTGGAATTCTTTAACTATCAATTTTGAGTTATCTTTCCTTTCTTTCCTTGTTTATTCTTTAATTGTTTGGTGCATTGAAGGGAGAGATACCTGTTAGACAGTGTATGCCCTTAGATCCAATCAAATTGATGTACTTAATGACATTTATTGTAAATGAATAAAAGTACATAATTGATTCATGTGTTTTGGTGTGTTTCTGTATAATACCCTTTAACTGACACTTATGAGACTTGTGTTAGTTTAGAATATTCACAGTCGTTGGATAGATCTGGGGAGATTTATCCTGTCAAGGTTGACACTGATGTGCCGCCAAGTTGGTTGGGTGGCTTGTCTCAGTTACCAAGGTGAGACCTGAGGTGCATGCAGTGTGGGTTTTCTTGAAACCTTGAATCGGACCAAAATTTCAGTATTGCCCTGGACCTTGGAGATAGATGGGCAAAACTGGAATTTTACACCTGACCCCTAAACTCGATTATGATACTGCACTACGTGTTGGATTGGATTGTCTTTGATATGCCAACCAATGACATCCTTAGAGGGGGTCAAAACCTGGGTATGTTGGGACAGTCTGAGAATTCACTTGAGTGGGTAATCATAGTGACAGGATCAACCCCTTTGTCGGACAAAGTGAATGATCAGGGAATGCACTCTCTTTGATGGAAACCTAAACTGTCAGCAGTGCAACACTGTTCCTTGTAGCCGAGGGAGAGGTCCTCTCTTGTCGGGCAGTGTTTGATCATTATGGGCTGAGAGGTTAAGTGTAAGACCATTGAGGGTAATACCTGATGGGCTAATCTTGCATCTGCCCACAATCCTTGGATTTTCATAAGGTGGCTGGACCCAATGACCATTTAGTGTAAATGTTGGGCCCATTAAGAGTCCATAGTGATGGACTCAGGGGTTCACTGTCTCCTATAGTGAATTCAGCCAGGCCTTATAACAAAGGCTGGGCTGAACCCATGTGGCTGATGTGTAGATCAATGTTTGGGTCCCACACCATACAAAGAGAACCAACTGGGCAGCGGGTTAAGAGGTTAAGTGAGCACATAAACTTAATGGGCCTAAAGCCCAATTTGAACTAGGCTTAAGTTGGTTAATTAAAAGGAGGCAAGATAGGATTTATAATCTTATTAGGATTAGCTGAAGGATAAGATAAGTCTTATCCATTCAAGAGTCCAGATCCAAATATCAGATTTGGATTAAGGAACTCTTTCCTAATTGGATTAGGAGGCTGATCTTGAAAAGGCTATAAATAAAGGGGGCGAATTCCTCAGTTACACATCACAACAATCTGTAGAGTCCTTCCCTATTCTTGTCGTCCCTACCCAGTTCGATCTCCACTTGTGGTAGTGATCATGAATTGTTCTTGATATTGTTTCTTGGTAGAAGAAGCAATATGAAGTCGTGCTCACCAGCCCTCTACTCCATTCTTGCTGAAGAATTCGATTCTTACTGAAGAGTAGTCCTGTTGATCCTACTTCACCACACACTGTGTCATCTTCAGTGGAAGCGGGTTTTGGTTTTCTCCTTGGGTGTTAAGACCTTCATTAGGAGTTACTGCTACTTCGTATCAGGTACATTCCTCTCCTCCCTTCTGGTTTCAGATCTGGTCCAGTTTTGGTTCAAGATTGATCATTGAAAATGCAGTTTTCTAAAATAAGGGAATGTGATTCCCAGATGGGAGAGAGAAAAATTTTTGAAATTTCGCCCAACCTTCCTGTAGGGTTCGGCCATCCATATGATGGATCTTTCATTCCTTCAGTGGTATTAGAGCCAGGTTCAAATCTTGAACCAAATTAAACTAGATCTGAATCTGCGCAAATAGGCAAAAGGCGTTCTACCCGATTTGCGCAGTTAACGTTTTTTCTAGGAAATCGGTTCCCAGTTTTGGGAGAATGATCTGAAATTAAATCTTTATTAATCTGATTTATATTTATAATTGTTCTATATATTTTTCTTGGATTTTGAATTGTTTGTATGATGGAGATCGAATTCTTTTATTGGCGCAAGAAATATGCGAACCTACTGATTTATTCTATTCATTCTTTGTCTATAAATAATTTCTTTTTATTTTATTTTTAGACAAAATGTATAGGAATTTGAATATGATGTAATATTAATAGAAAAATTAGGTTTTCTATTTTATTTCATTCAAAAACGAAGCTGAAAGCGCAAATGAGAGAATTTTGCATATTCGGGTTCAGTGATCTGCGATTTGCAGTTTTGGAAACTGCATACTGCGAACAACCCTCTTACTGATTCTTGATTGTCATGTATCAATTTCTTTATTTTTAGATCATGTTTCATGAATTGGATATTGAATTAAACATCAAATCCTAGACCCATTCAAATCATATTGGACCAAATCTGTGGTTCGATAGGGCCTGTTTTCAGCCCTGAAATTTCCTATATGGGTCGGGGAGTGATGGTTAATTGCAAGATGCAATTCGGCCCACATCTTTAAAACCTAGTTTTAATCTGTTAAAACTGTTTTAGCCCAATTCAGCATAAATGCTACATGGGTTCAGCCCATATACCTAGATAATATTAATTGGTAATATTATGGAATTAAATGAGCTTTATTTATGGGTTTTACAGTTATTTAATTGATTGGATCAATTATGGATTTCAAGCATGTGATGTATGGATGAGTGATGTGCTACGTTCATGGGCCATAAGCACTTGGCCCATGCTGATTCGATAGTGGCTCTTTTGTACACCATGGCTGAATGCACATCATTGCCATGGTGTCCTTAAGATCATTGGATGATCTCCCTGCATGGTGGGCCCCACATCAGCTTCTTCCCCAAGAGGAACCATGCGGAATCCTAGCCGTTTAGGGCCCATCTAAATCTGGCTTTATGAAAGTCAGTAGGAGCCACTTTGGTTTAACCTAAATAAATCTAAGGCGTAATTATTCGTTCCCTCCTCGAAATATAAGTGCATGTGATAGGGAGGTTCATATGATGAACTCTCTAAAGGCCTTCCATCATTAGCATGAAGATGGGTCCTTCAGTAATGAGGAGATGCACCATAAAATTGGGTTATCCATTTGCTATTGGATCTGTTGGATTGTTAGATAAGATGATAGGGGCGTCATAGACCGATGCGGGAGGGGCCTATCCTAAAATGAAAGACTCTGTCACGGTACCTTGGCGTTCACTAATATGATGGGTGAGCACTTACTGGACAGAAAGGTTTAACCTAAAATGCTAATGAACCTTGTCTGACAGAGGCCAAAGGGAAAGCTCATTAGATGAGTGGATACAATCCTTCACAGAAGGTGGTGGGGTTATGCAACTGAAACAATTGGCTTCATGCACTGTATGTGGTTTCCCACATTTCCAGAGACATAGTTCGTAGTCTCCGTCACTGATATAGGAGGGAAACCTCAAAGATAAATAAATGGAAATGGAACATAGATTAAAAACCATATCTATGAGGTACACATGAATCAATTTAGGTCATGGACTAATAATCTGTCTTGCCTTTACCAGAAATGGCAAACAGAAACTTCACCAAATTGTTGGATGACAACAAACTCAATGGCCCTAATTATGCTGACTGGTTCTAAAACCTTATGCTGGTTCTGACGTCCGAGAAATTGGACAAAATTGCTAAAAACCCTACTCTGGATCGTCCGGGTGACAAGGCTTCTGAGGCCCGTAGAAGAGAGTATCAATAATGGGAAGAGAAATACTCTCTTGCCCGGTGTTATATTATAGCCTCTTTAGACAATCTGATACAACGACAATTCGATAAAATCGAAGTGCCCAAAGATATATTGGATAGTCTGAAGACTATGTATGATGAGCAGAATCGTTCTACTCGACAAAAGGTCTTAAAATTGTTTATGCCCGCATAGATGACCGAGAACCAACAGGTTCATGACCATTGTCTAAAGATGATGGGTTATATCAATGAACTGGAGGCTCTAGGGTCAGGGCTAGATCATGACACCAAAATTGATGTTGTCATCAATTCCTTACCTCCATCCTTCAATCAGTTTATCATGAACTACAACATGAATAAGCTAAACGTTAGCCTTCAGGAACTCAGCAATATGTGGCAGAGGGTTGAAGAACTAATTAAGAAGGATAAGCTGATAGCCATGCTTGTTGAAGGTGGCAAATCAAGCAAGAAAAAGCAGAAGACTAAAAGGAAGGCTCAGAAGAAGGGTAGAAAAATTAAAAAGCAAAAGAAAGATAAGGCATCGGATGCCTGTCACTTCTGCAAGCAGACTGGCCACTGGAAGAGAAATTGTCCTCAATATCTGGAGACTAAGAAGCAAGGTAATTTTGAATCTCTTTGTTAGACAGTTGTATGCCCTTAGCTCCAATAAGATTGATGTACACTATGACATTTATTGTAAATGAATAATGTACATATTTGATTCATGTTCTTGTGGTGTGTTTCTGTGTAATACCCTTAAACTAGACACTTATGAGACTCGTGTTAGTTTAGAATGTTCACAGTCGTTGGATAAGTCTGGGGAGATTTATCCTGCCAAGGCTAGCACTGGTGTGCTACCAAGTGTTGGGGTGGCCTGTCTCAGCTGCCAGGGTGAGACCTGAGGCACATGCAGTGTAGGTTTACTTGAAACCCTGAACCGGACCAGATTTCCAATATTGCCCTGGACCTTGGAGATTGA